TGTGAGAACCAATATTAACCACAAATCAATAGATAAATTAGGAAATTTATAAATTTGGTAATTTTAAATTAAAATCTTAATACAAGGATATTTTTGGTATTTTAAAACTCTCCTCTCTCCTCTCTTCTCTCTCCGGCCACCGTTCTCCGGCCACCGTTCCCCAGCCTCCGACCACCGTCCTCCGGTGATACCACTATAATACCACTGTGATACCTAAAAATATTGACTCTGTTAAACAAAAGATACATTGTGATACCTAATCATATATAAGATGCATAGTGATACCACTGTGTTACATCTTCGATCGATCACACAAACGACATCAATGTGATACCCAAGCACATATATATGATGCATTGTGATACCATTGTAGTATCACCGGAGGACGGTGGCCGGCAAACGGTGGCCGAAGGACGGTGGCCGGAGAGAGAAGAGAGGAAGGAGGAAAGTTGTAAAATACCAAAAATATCCTTGCATTAAAATTTTAATTCAAAATTGCCAAAATTATAAATTTCCTAATTTATCTATTGATTTGTGGTTAATATTGGTTCTCACAGTTACCACAAACTAATTAGTTCTCATTTGATTAGGCCTATATATATATATATATATATACATTGACACAAGGTTAGAATTCTAGGTTTTCGATAGACATATCTAAAAGATGGCTTAGACCTCCTTCGCCTTTTGCCTAGGCAATATAGGAAAGGCCGAAAGCCAATCTCGAGGGATTCATTATGAATGTGGTAAATTTCATATCAACCTTTAATAGTTTACAATTTTGTATTATGTTTCAAAAATTTAGTGGTTATATACGATAGATAGATTGATAATATATGGTGGTATGGAGTAGTATTTAAAAAATTGCATGCAAGTAAACATTGGATTTGATTATTGAACGAAATTCCTAAAAAAGATAGAATTCATCAAAATCTTGTGGATTTTCCATAGTTTGATTGCAACTTGAACAATTCTCATATCGTAGGAAGATAAAGGTTGTAATTGAAAGATTACACTTTAGAATTCATAGTTTTCATGTTTCCATTGTGTTCACGATGGACCTATTAAGACAGTAGGAGGTGTATGAGCTACTGTTCAGTCATTCCGTTGTAATGAAAAAAGAATTAGGGATGTTAAAAGTATTACTGTTTAATCTTTCAGGGATGCGTTAATTTTTTCAAAACCAAACTCATAATAGAAATTGGAAATCGTTGAGTTGGTCTAAATCATTAGATTAACAATTGCCCTTCGTGAGGTTGTTGCAACGATCAAACATTCACCAAAGAATTATTGGTCCAGCGCTACCCTGACTTTCCCGGAGTATGTGTGTCTGTATTTGATGTATATAATATAGTTTAAAAAATAATCTAATGTTCTGTGAGAAAATTTAGTGAAAACGTGGTTTTTGGCATGATCATTCATTCTCAACAGATCGACTATTGACTTTCGTGTGCCAAAATGTCGATTCTAACTTCAAAATCGACAATACGTTATGCCAAATTCTAAAGATCGACTATTGACTTTCGTGTGCCAAAGTGTCGATTCTAACCTCAAAATCGACAATACGTTGTGCCAAATTCTAAGCTCTCAATTTCTTGTTCTTGGAATCTTTCAGAGTTTAAAAGACTTCTACAAGTACCAGTAGTCACGATATTCTCTTGGTGTTTATGGGCACAAAGGATTGGAACCTTCAAGCTTCAAGTACACAAAAGCAAGCTGGTGTCCCACCTGTTGCTCTAATTGTAAGATATCTGTGGTGGAATGACAGCCTAAAAAGCCTCAAAAACAGCCTCAAAAAGCAAAGGACTTTTAGTAACTAAATGGGGTATAACAGATAGATATACAAAAAAGTGTATATATATATTATACCAATAAATATTCACATCCAACATGTTTTCTGTTCATAATTACAATACAAATTAACATATTATGAAACAAATAAGTTCGACTATGATGAAAAGAATATGACGAACCTATACAAGGACCGAAACCGAAATCAAAACCTGATCCAACTATCATACACACCAAGACAGTATGCATACTTCCTAAACAAATTCAAGCCAGTTACATAGGCACAAACATGACAAAGAACAAACCGAAAATAAAAGAATAATACTCGCACAACAAATACTTATACCATATATTCGTCTTTCGTGATCAAACCTTCACGTCGTCTTTGGTTTCCTGAGGAGGGGTCTTCGGGTTCTGGTTCTTCCCGATTATAGCTTTCTTCGCTTTTATGAATGATTTCTTCACCTTACCCATAATGCTACTCGATTGCTTTGGAGTTGCAGATTTCTCTTCTTCCTTATGATTAGATTCAGTTGATTTGGTTTCATCAACTACTTTTTCATCTTCCTTGGCTGCAGTTTCAGCTGTATTGACAGCTTTAGGGTTTTCAGAATCTGCTACTGTTTCCTTCACAGTTTCATTTTCTGCTCCATTTCCCTTAGTTTCAACAGCTGCAACAGTTTCTTCTTTCCCATTTTCCACCTCTTTATCTTCAACTTCATCCTTTTTCTCAACAGTTTTAGATTCATCTTCAACTTTGTTATCAATTTGTTCAGTAACAGTAGATTTTTCTTCTGGGATCTCTTTTGGCACAACGGTTTCGGTCTTTACCGGTAAATCTTCCACTTTATCTGCTTCTTTCACATCCACTTGCTCATCTACGTTCTTTTCAGCAATCTCAGTGACTGATTTCGGAACCGAATCTTGATCTGCAACTTCTTGTTTGTGTTCTTTCTCTTCAGCAATTATGGGCTCTTTTTTCTTTTCAGCAGTAGTCTCAGGATCAGTCTTTATCTCTTCCGATGGAGGTAAGTTGTCTTTCTGGTCTTCTTTCAAACCAGTGTTCTTCACTTCTTCCTGAACGGGAATCTCAATCTTTTCAGCAGCTTCTGGTTCTTTTTCGACATCCTTCTTTTCGACCTCTTCAATCACTGAGCAGTCCGTATGTTTATCGTCCTTCTTCTCCACAGGTTCTGCTACCGCTTCTTTAACCTCAGTTTTCTCTATTTCAACCGCAGGAGATTCGGTTTCTTTATCAACAACCGACACTTCAGGAGTCGGCTTTTCTTCCTTGTCCGTCTTCTTTACTTCTTCAACATCAATGGGTTCAGTTTTCTTTTCTTCTGTTTCAACTGCAGGATTCTTGGTTTCGTAATCGAGAGCCATCACTTCAGTCGTTGGGGTTTCTAATTCTTCTTCTTCAACCTTCTTCACTTGTTCTTCGATTTTTACAGGTTCAGTTTCCTTTTCTTCAACGGTAGGTAATTCAGTTTCTTTATCCACAACGATCACTTCAGTCGTCGGCTTTTCTTCCTCCTCAACGTTCTCTTTAACTTCTTCAATGGCAACAGGTTGATCAGATTCGTTTTGGTGGCATATTTCTTCAGTTACTGGTAATTGAACAGGTGATGAGTCTTTGATCTTTGGCTTTTCCTCATGGGGACTCGATGAATCCTTCACTTCTGTCCTTCCTTCCTCTGTAGGTGGATCGGTGTCAACAACCGCTTGTTCAACTGCTTTCACATCTCCATGAATCTCCTCCTTCACTTCCTGCAATACATCCCAAATTGGTTGTATTTAGATGGTCAGATCCATCCTATTTACAGTTTATCATGGGTTCAAATCCCTCCGTCGTTCCATTGAATAACCTTCTCAAAATTTTCTTTTAATTCTACGACCTTCTGATAGGTTTTAGCCGGGGGAGGATCTAGCCCCAGTCAAAGACCAAAAACATTTGTTAATTAACTTAAATTTTCTATTTTTATCCTCGGTCTTATATGGTTTTCCTCCGGTCTCATATGGTCATATGCTTGTCTCCCTCAAGTCCCATCCAACATGCTCTCACCCCATTAATTTCCTGATTTCGCCATTGGTTTTAGCATACCACTTTCATACATCAGAATGACATTTCAATACATGAGAATGCCACTAAACTTGTCAGAAATTTATGTTGTTAATAAAAATCTCATTTAAGGTCAATATCCTAAACAGTCCATGTTATCGTGGAGACTTTTAGGTATATAACGAAACTATTACGTGTGGTATTGTTTTTCTTAGTCACTACTAAGAAAATGACTTTTTTTGGACGGAAAAGGAAAAGATCCCCTCTTTTGTAGTGACTTTCAAAGCTTTATAGAGTATAAAGATCGAACGAAAAGCAGGTCTCCTATGAGTTGCGTGCCTGCCTTCGATAACCATTCAACTTCAATTCGTCAAAAATCACTGAACAACCTAGGCATTTCTAAAAGATTCCGATTCTCTAAATGGGCAGTCGAAGGAATTGATGCATAATTCGTGTTGTTTTCTCCATAAATTACTTGAGTATAGATATGCATAAAAACGGGATCACTTATTCTAAACTCCTTCTTCTGAGGACATGTTGTTACGGGATATGTGGTGTTGTTTGCTACTAGCTAGCTAGTCGCCGTATTCGGGTTCACGTCTAACGGTTTGAACGATACAAATGTGTGTCTATGTATTACAACAAAATTGAGTTTCCTAGGATACAAAAATTGTCTAAATGTCTTAACAAATTAGAGAGTAAATTCATTTTTGGTTGTTTTTGACTATCAAGTTTGGTCCATCTTTTAAACTAATTACAATTTCGGTCTTTGTAATCCTCATTTTGTTTCACTTTTGATCGCTCTAACTAACCCTAGTTAAAAAGGTGGGATAACTTATTTGTTTTTATTTTATTTTATTTTATTTTATTAGACCAAAAAGTAAATTATGATTTTTGGTCCACATGGGTTGTCGTTTCCATTTTGTTTTCCTACCAATTTATCATTTTATACTTCTTATTATATCAATTAATTAACGATATTTTTTACTAAAATTCATAATACATATTTTATTTTCTAAAATACACTATTGGAAAGTCTTGCTAGTACATAAATAAGAACAAACAATACATTTTATGAACCCAATTTAAAATAGAATTTTTTTTA